ATGTACATTAAATTATGTTTAAAAGTACTAGATTAACAACTTGACCTTAGGACTTATGATTCGTAGTAAGTATAAGGTAACGGAGAAGTAATTTGACTGTAAATCTAAGGAATCGTAAGAAATATAAAATTCTAGATTAGTAACTTAACATTAGATCTAACGCATAGAAAAAGTGTAAAGCGCCAGATAGCGATTCAATAATAGGCCTAGTGAATAGACAGAAGCATAAAAGAGCAGATTGATAATTCATCAATAGAATTTGTTTGTTTGTTGTTATGCACAAAGCTACACACAATGGGCTATCTGTGATGTGCCCACCATGGGTATTGAAACCCGGTTTGTAGCGTTATAAGCCTTCAGACTTACGCTGAACCACGTAATTTTGCGCAAAGCTATACGAGGGCTATCTGCGCTAGCCGTCCCTAATTTAGCAGAGTAAGACTAGAGGGAAGGAAGCTAGTCATCACCACCCACCGCCAACTCTTGGACTACTCTTTTACCAACGAATAATGGGATTGACCGTCACATTATAACGCCCCCACGGCTGAAAGGGCAAGCATGTTTGGTGTGACGGGGATTCGAACCCTCGACCCGCAGATTGTGAGTTGAGTGCCATATCCACCTGGCCATGCCGGGCCAGTATTAAATCTCAGATTAACGACTCGACAGAATGTCTAATGAACCAGAAAAAGCATAAAATACCAGATTAGAAACTCGCTATTAGGCCTATGGCATTGTAAAAAAAATCACTTTATAAAGAATCGTATTAATATTTAGACTATAGATTATTGAATCGTGAGAAGTACAAGTTACCAGATTAGAAACTTGCTGTTAGTCCTAACGCATTGTAAAACGGCATCAAATGTTATACAATCTTTTCAACAGTACGATAAATTATACTAGTAACTGTAAAGTTTAATATTTATTTAGGATTCCTTAAACTTGAATTATCTGGCAAACCCATTCGTCGTATAAACAAATTCACTAATCTGCTAATTATGATGGTAAAAAATGTGAAGGGATCTTACTTTATGCTACAATAATCGTAAATAGTTACGAACTAAAAGGAACGTTTGGCGATACCACTGATTGGCTTTTCATCATTACACTGTTTTACAGTAGAGCTCAGCTGAATATCAACCACGTTATTGTTGTAAAAAATAAGAGTGGAGATTTGGTTCCAGACAAACAGATGTAAAGCAAGGTTTGGTAGGATACTTATCGTGTTCTGGCAAAATAAATGTTAGACAAATAAAGCTTTTTGGAAATGCGTGAGAACTATGTTAAGAGGCGCCAGTGTTGTACGAAATTCAAGTGAAAACCGTTTATAACGGTTCTGTGCTTTACGCATGTGACCATGCCGCGTTAAAATATGTAAAATGTCTGGCCGAATGCGATAGCAGCTGTGACTTTTATTTTTCGCAGACAAGAAAAATGATTTCTCTGATCTGTTATTGATCTATTATATTGTCAATCGTAAAACACTTTTTTTCAAAATCAATTTTAACATGTACATTGTATAAACTTTTGTAAAACCTCTTTATAACTTGCACCTTTGTTTGCTGGATATTTTTCAATACAATCCATTATATACACACGAATGTGGATAAAAAGTGCTATTTCCTCACAATAATGAAAATATTATTTGTGTAATATGATGTATATTAGATTTTAGTAAAAGTATTTCTGTTGTCATAACTATCATTAATACTACATAATATTACAACGAAGATAACGTACCTCATCATCTTCAAGCCTTCAAAGATGAGTAGTCTCAGACAGTTATATAAAGGAGAGAACGAGATTATAGGTTGCTCGAGAGCAGGTTGATCCTCTCAATGAATTTAGGAACAGAACTACAACTGAATATTTAGAGGAGCTATCGTCTGATAAAACCGGGTTCAAAACTCCCTAAAAAAGTATTCTACTAACGTGTTGAGCCGGCTGTACTCCGTGGATCTTACCTACCGCTACCAACACGGTCAAAAGACACGGTTCAAGTGAAGGTTTTGTTAATATGAGAAACATTTTTACCACGTGACATGGTGTGTTACATATGTCATTATACACATATTTTCTTATTTTGGCTAGGAAAAGTCTTGAGAAACTAATCGTGAATGGTGAAAACCGTAACCCAGAATGAAACACGGTATATTATTGGGTGAGGATATGAACCAACAGTAACTAGTTTAGAAAGTACGTAGCGTTATGGTTTTTTTCTGTTATTGTTATGCCCATTTCTGCCCTGATTAACGTCACCATCCGGGTTTACAAGGCAAGAAAGTTGGTAACCTTTTTATCCAGACCTAGTATACCTCTCGCGCGGGTGCGGAACGCCCTAAGATTTTTTATGACTTTGTTGTTTACAGTAAGGTCAGCTAGGTGGCCGTATTTGAAAATACGCTGCATGCAGACTCGAGGTCATTGAGACAGTTTCGTTATACTAGTAAACGAGGCTGATAAAGAGAAGGAAAGAACGAGTTGATTGTGGGGCTGTTTTAGTTTGCTTATTTGAACACAGTCGTGAAGTTTTGTAGGTCTAGGGCACTAGATTAGTTTCATAAAAAGAAGGAAAAAAACTGTAATAACACATATTTCACCTTTATGATATAAGACTTGAAATGTTTTAGAAAACCATATTCAGTTTGTTTGAAGTTAAGCACACAATTGGCTATCTATGCTCTGCTCACCACGGGTATCGAAACCCGGTTTCTAGCGTTGTAAGTCCGAAGACATGCCGCTTGTGCCACTGGGGGGCACCGTATTCATTCAGACCACACTGTTTTTAAACTAGTACGACATCAACAATGTATAAATATATTTTTTGTCTTCCTTCTTGATGTTCCAACGATTCCACGTACCAAAATCACATGATATCGCTTTCAAGATTTTCTACTTTCAGAAAAAAACTCAACAGTGCCGTTTAACAAGAGATACTAAATTAGAGACATGTAGCACCACTTCAAAAGTTATAATGTGATTCCCATTTCCGTATTTTTCGTTTTTCTCTTCATAGATGACTTTGTTTTGTTTGTTTGTTTTTAAATTTTGCGCAAAGCTTCTCGATGGCTATCTGCATTAGATCATAGACGTCCCTAATTTAAAAGCGATGTAGCTAGCTTACATCACACACCGCTAATTCTTAGGCTGTTCTTTTTAACAACGAAAAGTGGGATTGATCGTCACATTATAACGCCACCAAGGCGAGCAGGTTCGATTACGATATTCGAATTCGCGACCCGAAGAAAGGGAGTTGATCGCCCTAACCACCAGCCCGTGCCAGCTTTTACAAACGTAGCATTCTTTTAATTGAAACATAAAAGCAGATTAATTTTACAAGCAATGTAAAAGATCTAAATATAAATGTTAATGTTTTTACTCCTTTAATTAATAGTTTATTCTGAAAAATCTTGCCTATTCAAAGCAACTAGGACTGTGTATTTTCTAACGTTCGTTGATAGTTTTGAAATTAACTCTTAGTAACTTCAAAAGTTGTGTAGTTGTTTTTCTAAAATCGAGTTGTATGTGCGATTTGTTTATGATCGAGATCCAAAGATCTCGACCTCAAAAAATAATTTTCAATATTTAGGTGATATGGGAATTTGCTTCTTCTGTTATTAGCTGTAAATCTGCAAAAATTAAAAAAATAATAAAAGGTTTTCCAAACACACTAAAAAGTGTTTAGTTGAAATTAAACTTTGACATCTTTTTTAACTTAAACTAAATTTAGACTTCTAAAATTATTCCAAATTTTTGCAATTTCCATGAAAATCCAACTTTACAAAGTAACAACCAGTTCAACTTTACAAACTAACACACAATCCAACTTTACAAACTAACACACAATCCAACTTTACAAAGTAACACCCAGTCCAACTTTACAAAGTAACACCCAATACAACTTTACAAACTAACACACAATCCAACTTTACAAACTAACACCCAGTCCAGCTTTACAAAGTAACACCCAGTCCAACTTTACAAAGCAACACCCAGTCCAACTTTACAAACAATCCAACTTTACAAACTAACACACAATCCAACTTTACAAACTAACACCCAGTCCAACTTTACAAACTAACACACAATCCAACTTTACAAACTAACACACAATCCAACTTTACAAATTAGCACTTAATTCCACTTTACAAAGCAACACCCTATTCAACTTTACAAATTAGCACACAATCCAGCTTTACAAAGTAACACCCAATCCAACTTTACAAAGCAACACCCAGTCCAACTTTACAAATTCACACACAATCCAACTTTACAAAGCAACACCCAGTCCAACTTTACAAATTCACACACAATCCAACTCTACAAAGTGACACCTGGTCCAACTTTACAAAGTAACAACCAGTCCAACTTTACAAAGCAACACCCAGTCCAACTTTACAAAGCAACACCCAGTCCAACTTTGCAAAGTAACACACAATCCAACTCTACAAAGTAACACCTGGTCCAACTTTACAAAGTAACACTCAGTCCAACTTTACAAAATAACACACAATCTAACTTTACAAAGTAACACCCAGTCCAACTTTACAAACTAACATACAATCTAACTTTACAAAGCAACACACAGTCCAACTTTACAAAGTAACACTCAGTCCAATTTTACAAAGTAACAAACACAATCCAACTTTATAAATTAAAACATAATCCAACGCTACAAAGTAGAACACACAGTCCAACTGTACAAAATAAAACACAATCTAGCTTTACGAAGTAAAACACAATATAGCTTTAGGAAGCAACACACAGTCAAACTTTACAAAGTTTATAAATTAACATAGAATACAAATTTCTGTTAACCACTTGTTTATTTAAGAGTTGGAAATCAACGCTTGCTTTTGTTCAGTTGGAACAATCCTGATTCAACTTGTTGCTACTATAGGTTGTATCATCCTTTACAACGTGGTAGAATTTTACATGGAATTTTCCCAACCATGTATATCTATCACTGTTTTTTACGTTATTGTTGTTGATCTTGTTTGTAAATAGTTCAAAAGGTCTTAGTGACCCATTTCAGAAGATTTGACTTGTTGGTCTACAGACAATGAACAACTGGTTTAGATGTTAGGGTTGAACAACACCCTTCAATATAAAGAGAAACTGGGAATTCTTCACAAAGGGAAAATCTATAATATGTGATGCCATTTACAGCTTTGATCACGACACTGCCTTTATAAAATGTAGGTCGAACTTCGGTTCGTTTCAGAAGTCAGTTAATACTAATATCTTCAAGGTTGACCAATTCGAATGAGAGACGGAGCTATGGAACAAATACTGTCTAATTCTGAAGAATGACTTTATCGAACACTTGTCAAGAATATAAAACTTGCGAATTTAGTAAAATGTTTTCGCTGCTAAGTTTAGTAGTGTACTAAAGTATTATTTATTTTCTAAACTTATTTGTCGCCGTTCCTAATTCTGAACTACTGACTAGAGGGAAGGCAGCCAGTCAGCAGCACTCTACCACCCATTATCCACCCTAAGGGATTTACTATCATTCTTATTACGCACTCACAGCTAGCAAGAATATTTTTTAGTTTGAAATGCACTTACTTGTAAAAAATTAATTACGTATAAAACAAATATGTTTAGTACAGCTATGTTGTGTGATGTTCACTTGGGTGTAATATTAACTACACATATCAATAATAAGGCTTAGTACAGATTTCTTGTCTGAAGCCCACTTGGGTGTAATAGTTAACTGCACATAATACTTGTAAGGCTTAGTACAGTTTTCATGACAACGGTTGTTTGGCTGATAACAACAGGTGTCTTAGTGTCAACATAAAGTGTTTGAGTGGCAACAAAAGGTGTTTGAATGGCAACAAAAAATGTTTGAATGTCATCAAAATGTGTCTGGGTGGCAACAAGAGAAGTTTGAGTGTCAACATTAGGTGTTTTAGTGGCAGCAAAAGGTGTTTGAATGGCAACAAAAAATGTTTGAATGTAATCAAAATGTGTCTGACTGGAACAAGAGAAGTTTGAGTGTCAACATTAGGTGTTTTAGTGGCAGCAAAAGGTGTTTGAGTGGCAATAAAAAGAGTTTGAATGGTAACAAAAGAATTTTGAGATACTTAAAGTGGTGTTTTAGTGGCAACAAGAGGAGACTTAGTGACAACATGAGGAGTTTGAGACATAAGTGGCGTTTTGCTAACAAGATATGTCCGATTGGCAATAAGAGGTGTTTGAGTGGTGATAGTAAGTGTTTGATTTGCAACGTTGGGTGTTTAAGTGGTAGCAGGGTGTACTTGAGTTGAAACAGAAAGTGTTTGACTGGGAACAGCGGGTGTTTGAGTGGTGACAGGAGGCGTCTGAATCATCGCGTCTATAGATTATATAACTTTCGTAACACGTGCATCGACGTCGGTCAATGAGTTGTTCATTTTATTTGTGTTTTCTCTGTTGATTTGGATACGCGTGTTCCCGTAGAGGGCCGCATTGTTAAGCATCTGACTTCAGATTTTAATTAATTAATTTAGTCCTGTTTAATTCAGATAGTATTTGCTTATTCTCAGTGCCAGACGTTCGAAAGTTGTCTCATTCTTCAAGGATTCTTATAACAACTCGGTAAGCAGAGCTGAACAAATTTATTTTGCTGACTATCCCTCCACTACTTAAGTGTTATAAAAATGCATATAGCTGACTATCCCTCCACTACTTAAGTGTTATAAAAATGTAAATAGCTGACTATCCCTCCACTACTTAAGTGTTATAAAACTGTTCGATGATAATGCAAGCAAATGTTCTCACCCAGGCAACATTGTCTCGAGGCAACATTAAACTGGAGAAATCTATACCATTATGGGAAGGCAGGGTGATCTGCTTTAGTCATAAGGCTATAAAACAGTGTCTATTGTTAGAGCCTGACCTATACCCGAGGGGACTGCATTATTACGTAATACAGCTGTAGGTCGAGATAAAGTTATTGTAGTAACCTGAACTGAATGTTCGAGTTAC